AATGAGTGCTCCCCAACTGCATGGTTAGGTCAGGCCTCACTGAGGAGTTCACGCTTAGCTGGGTCTCGGAGAGTCCAGTTCTGGGTCAGACCAGGCCCTGCGGGCCCTGATCCCATCCTCCAAGGGGCATGAGCATGTGGATGCCGACCCCACCCCCGCCCATGTGGGCAGCGCCAGGAGCCTGACCCAACCGGGCCAGCAAGGTCCTTGGCATCTGGCTCAGGATGCTGGTGGCATTCCTTGCTGGGTGCTCGGCGGGGAGCGTGGGGGGGGGAGCAGGCCCTTTCCAGACTCGCTTTCCTCATCTGTAAAATAGTCCCGGTGTTCTACTCCAGGGAGCCTGAGTGGTTGAGCCTGTACCACCAGCACGGCCCCTCCCTGACTGCTCCCCCACCTCCTCTCAGAGGGGACAGCCTAGCACTGCCCGGTGGGCAGGGTGCCCTCAAAGTGGGCGGGGTCCGATCTGAGCACGGGGCTCCCTTCTCAGGCTGCTCAGGGCTGCGCACGGGGAGCAGCAGCCCACGGGGGGAGGAGCAGATGTCTGCCTCTGCTGCTGTGTGCGGGCGGCTGGTGCGACAGTCTCCCCCACCCCGACTCTGCTCACCTCCAGTTTTCCCACTGACCTGGGAGACAAGGTGGGTGAGGTTCTGGAAAGTTCCGGAACGTGCAGGGATGGCTCAGGTCCTGTCCCTGTCTGCGCCCTGACTCTGCGAGGACGCCCGTGGCCTTGGGCTCCCCTCTGCTCAGCGCCGCCCCGCCTGTGGTCATTCCGTTCCCTACTCCCTGTGCGTGTGGGGCACTGGCTGGGCACAGGGAGGGGCCGGACTCAGCCCACGGCAGCCGAGGGCAGGCCCGGGGCCGCGCAGGGACGGAACAGTCTGCCCCCCAGGGCGGGTTCCCTGAGGCCCTCCTTCCACCCGGGCCCCGGGCACTACAGCGGTGAGGAGGGAGGGGTAGCCGGCCAGTTCTCACCTTCTGTCTGCCAGGGTGGTGTCCTCCACCCTCGACCCTCTAGCCCAGTTGCAAAGGCCTATGCACACAGGAGGGGCTTTTAAATGCCTCTTGCAAGACAGTGGCGCCGATTTTGTAACCCGGCCCCCAGGTTACAGGTCACCCGTGAGAAGTGACAATCGTCATACCGGACCCTTGGCGGCGGGCAGGTGTGAGGGCGGGAGCCGGGGCCGACTGCAGGCAGGTTCACGCATTCCTTCACACACGGGGCCTGCTCAGAGTGCC